TCAATTTTTATAAATTGATTTAAGCGTCTTGAGTTTTCCAAATAGACTTAAATATACCTTGTGAGTTGATTCCATTGGACTTAAACATATCCTCCACCAATGAAACACCTCATTTAAAGTTTTTAAAGTCCTAGTGTTTACATTGTAGGCAGGAAAGAGAAGAAAGAGAAGTGAGGTGCAAGGTTCAAAATATCGTTACGTATTGGTCTGTATTGGCCGATATGTATGGTTTCAAGGCTTTTTCGATACGCCCCTATAAGGTGTGTTAGATTTGTTTCAGTGTTGATGCGGAATCAAATCCGCAACCAGCACTGTGGGGAAAAGGGATCAGGGAGACGTTATTAATGGTACATGGCACCGAATACCAAAAATAAAGTATTTTTTCTTTTTTAACTTAGGGTATGTTTAAGTCAATTTAGGAAAACTTAGATTATGTTTAAGTCTTTTACCCTAATATTTGTATAGCTTCATACAATGTCAATACTTGCAAACACTAAATATTATGTTGTCCCCAACCTTTCTCAAGTGTCATTTTTCAGCAATAACTATTCTCCGTGACCAAAGAAGAGTAGAGAAGCAAAACCAAGGAAGGAATCGTTGCAATCTTTTGGATTCAGTGTTGACGAAACACAAGAGACATTTTTCTGAGAATCATTCTTACCAGAAAAACTTCAATCATGAGCATACACCATTAACAAATGATTTGTAGGAATAGACTATATTCTTCAGCCAAGGGGTAGAATTCAATTAAATTTTTGTTCATGAAATGTCTTGGCATTCAAAATTTCAAATACATTTACAATATAGAACCCAAGAAACATTTATCTCAAAATCATTATTACTAAGAAAAAGGCACCTGAAATTTTATAAATCTAACTCTTTTAAGGAATCATTATCGAATCTAATTCACATAAGCACATGGGTGGTTTAGATGTGGTTTCCATCTACCTATTCTAGTCCGTTGCTTAACTCTCTACAAAATGCATCTTGATGTTGTAGAATACTCTTGTTGTAGCTTCACTTATAAAAAATCAGGATCCTCAGGTGAGAAGAAGAAGAAGAAGAACCCTGATGAAATCAAACCATTTATTAAAAATGGCTTTCACCCTTGATTGAAATTTGAAAAAGAAAAAGAACACATGCTGATGAAATGAAACAATTTTATTGAAAATGACTTCCACCCTTGATTGAAATTTGAAGAAAAAGAAGTCTAGAAATCTTTAATTAACAGTGCCGAAAGAAGAAGAATATCAATTAGTAAAGAAAACAATATAAATTTTAATTTTATGCATTATCCAATTTAATAACTAAATAATATTTTAAAAACATAAATAAGAAATTATTTAAATAACAAAATATTAAAAATAGCTAAATAATTATGTAACAATATATTTAAAATTACATAATAGCTTTAAGGAAGAATTAAATAAAATAAGATTAAACATTTTAATATTATTTAAATATTTAAATATTTAAATAATGAAACATTTAACATAACTAAATTTTAAATAGTTAAAATAACAAAATTATGTAATAAATTTTCAAAAAATTTATTAAGAGTAGTATAATAATTATAATAGATTTCATAACTTTTGAATTAATAATAATTTTATATTTTACAAAATTAATAACGAAATTATATAATAATAGTATAAATTATAATTTCATGGATTATTAAATTTAATAAATACTTAATATTTTAAAATTTTAAATAATGGTATTGTTTAAATAATTAAATGATGTTATGAATAACTATTTTTTAAATACTTTAAATATCAAAGTATTAATAACTAATTCATATCTTATATATTATTTCAAAAACAAAAAATAAATTAAATAACAAAATTATCTTATAACTTTAAAAAGCTATCAAAAGCACAAAAGTAATTATAACTAGAGGGGCCCCATGCAATGCACTGGATGTGGCACCCCTCCTTGTCCCTCACCCCCGTAGTCAAGACACTCTACCCTATCTCTAGTGGCGGGGTAGGTTTGAGGCGAGACACCTATTCCCCATCTCCCCATACTTTTCTCACCCCGAGGCAAAAACCTAAAAATAATCTATTTTGTGGATATTTTACAAATAGGATTATGGAAATTTAGGGTACTTTAGGAATTAGACTATGACAATTTGGGGGTATTTTATAAATGGAATTATGGGATATATCCTAGGATTATAAGAATATGAGGAAAAACTTAGAGATATTTTGAAAGTAAATATTAAATCTACTAATACTTTACTAATTTACCATCAGGTTTGGAGAATTATGTGCAAACCCCATCCCTTCCCCATCCTTGATTTGGAGCAAAAATATTTTCCCCATCCCCACCTTGTCTCTTCCCCATCCCTATTTAAGATTCGAGAAAACTTGCCCCATTTGGGGTGGGATAAGGTATTATTTATGTTTTATATACTATTTTTAAATAAATTTTAAATGTTTTCAATATAAAAATTGAATGTTAAACCATATTTTAAACATTATTTAAAAAACAAAAAAATAGATTTAATAACAAAATTTTGTAGCAACTTTAATAAGAATATAAAATATAAGTAAATTAAATTAAATATTATTGAAATAGTGGAAGTAGATTAAATAACTTAGAGGTATTGAAGCGTTTTATTAGTTATTTATTGTATTTTTGTTATAAATATATTTTCAGTAATTGTGTATTTTTGCTATAAATTTTCAATAATTATTGGAGATTAAACTATTGTTATCTGTTAAAGATTAGACTATTAATTTAGTTGAAATTAGGAGTGTTCACTAGGCAATTCAGTTCGATTGGAGATTGTTTGGCTAGCCAAACTAATCTGGTCGGATTAGGGAGTTGGTCACTCGAAACTGACTAACCATTAGTGAAAAATGACCATTGGTTAATTAATAAATGTTTAGCTTAATTTACACTTATCATTGTAATTTAATAAAATTTCATTAGACTTTTACAATAATTATTTATTCATAAAAGATATTATTAATTAGCGTAATTTAGTAATTTCTATAAAATCAATAATTATAGTTGACAATTATCAAATAATTGAGGAAAAATTTTTAACTAACAATCCATACTTTTTAAATAAATAATAATTAAAAAATTAGGAAATTTATCTATGAAACAATTTTTCTCCAAAACTATTTAAATAATAGTCCATTATTATTATTCAACTAAATAATTATTAAAAATTTCAAGAAAATTAAATTAGTAAATTAATCTATCAGAAATTGTTTCATATTTATTTAAATAACAATCTATTATTATTATTTTAATAAATAATTATGAAATAATTTAGGAAAATTATTAAATCTATCCACACCAGTCTAGACCACTTGGTTGACTTCAACCATACTTGTTTTTATATTAATTAACAACAAATGATTTACTTTTAATTAAAATTAATGTAATTTACCATAATTACATGAATTTACTATAATTACACCACTTTGATTAATAGTAAATAATTTAGGCTTAAAAAGTAAATAATTTACATTAATTCACATTAATTTATTGTTATTGTGAATAACTAATTTACTACACATTTTTCCAATTAACAATAATTTCAAAATTTTTGGAAACTATCATAAAATATTGTAATTTATTGTTATTTAATTTACTATTAGTTAATTAGTTATGGAAAATTATTAGAATTGTAGGGATGACAATTTTCCCTGTAAAACTAGGGCCCTACCCTACCCCACCCCGAAGAAGGGAAGTTTTCTCGAATTTTAAATAGGGATGGGGAAGAGGAAGAGACAGGGTGGGGATGAGGAAAATATTTTTTGCTCCAAATTAGGGATGGGGTTTGCATATAATTCCCCAAACACGATGGTAAATTAGTAATCCTAGGATTCCACAATTCCATTTATAAAGTAATCGCAAATTATCATAATCCAATTCCTAAAATACCCCCAAATTCCCATAATCTTATTTGTAAAATATCCACAAACTAGATTATTTTTAGGTGGTTGCCTCGGGATGAAAAAATTTGGGGATTCTCCATCTCCGATAGGGAATGGGTGCCTCACCTCGAACCCGCCCCACTACAAAAACGAGGCAAAGATGGGGTAGAGTGTCTTGACTACCAGGTGAGGGACAGGGAGGAGTGCCCCATCCCATGCATTGCACGGGGCCCGCTAGTATTATAAAAAGTAGGGAAATAGTCTAAAATTCACCACGAGTTTTCAACATTTCTCTTAAACTCACCATGTGAGTAAGTTTTTATTTTCCAAAACTCACTTTCCATTAGTGCACTGTTAATGTTTCTTAACAAAGATGTCCATGTCAGCATAAATAACAATTTTCATGACCAAATTACCCTTGAATAGTGAGTTAGAGGAAAAATGGTCTTTTTCAGTTTTCAATTTTCTTGTTTTTTTTTTTGCATTTTTAATGTTTTGTTATAATTTCCAATATTTTTTATAATTTCTGTTTTTTTACATTTTTCTATCTTCTACAATCTATAAATTTTCCTGTATTTTTGTTATTTATTTACAATTTCTGTGTTTTTCTATAATTTTTGGTGTTTTTTCTACAATTTTTATTTTTGGATTTTGTTTTTCAATTTCTATAGTTTCTATAATTTGAAAATAATTTTTTATTTTGTTTGCAATTTCTATAATTTTTTATAATTTCTATGTTTTTATGTATTTTATATTTGAAAATGTTTTTTTGAACATTTTCCTTTTTTCATGTCTAAATATCAAAATAGTAATATATTAACACCAGTTAATTTATTTTGTATATATTTATATTTTTCTATAAAAGTTAAAACGGTAATATATTAATACCCGTTAATCGGTTCAACGTCAAGTTAGACATGAGTTTTAGACATTTTTGAAAAATTATAGTGAGGTTAAGAGAAATGCTGAAAACTCACGATGAATTTTAAGAAATTTCCCTAAAAAATAACCATTCAACCAGGTGTTATTCATTCACGCGGTTTTATTTTGTCAAAGCTGTTTAGGTATCATATATTCACGACCGAGTCCGTGTACCGTGTTCACTGTTGATTTGGTTAAGTAATAAGTAGCCCGTTATAAGCAGCGGCTCGTTTGCAAGGTTCAAATAAACCTCCACATATCAATAACATCCTCATCAGAGATTCAGAGTCTGAACTACGCGCCAAAAATCTCAGAATCCAACTACACACGTAAATGCCAGTTCATCGAGCAATGCCTTCACTGCTTCTCTGTCTTTTCCTGATCAGAATCGATCATCAGACACGAATCCCAGTTTGTTTATGAAAACATATGCAGCCGGCCAATCACGGAGAGGGAAAGAGAGTGAGTTCAGTTTCGAGTAATGGAGGGTTCTTCGATGGTGCGCCAACAAATGATACAGTTCCTGCTCTTCTCCTCTGCTGTCAGTACTTCTTATTTAGTCTTTTGTTCTTTTTCTTAATGAAAATTCGAAGCGATCGTTTCTAATGGTTACTGATGCCAAGTTCGTTTCTGATTTTCTTTTTTCCTTTTCAATTTTTCGAGCAAAAGCAACTTGGTGTTCGTCCAATTGTAAAGTACACGGCGTTATCCTTGTATGCTGAGCGGTTCTACCCTTCTCTTAACAAGTAATCCTTCTTCTTCCCTTTTATAAGTCGGAGGAGATTGGTAAAGAGCTCTTTGTGCATTTCGATAATTTTAGAAACTAGTGACTTCTGGGTCTGTAGTGAGTGTCTGGATGATTGGATTAAGCTTGATTTCTGTCAATTAATTTCAATTTTAACTTTTAGCAACTTTGGTTGAATGCAGTCTACTATAGAATCGTTAAACATATTTTTAGTTAGTCATCTTAAAAATCCAGCAGGTTTATATTATTTAGTTATTCAAGTTATGGGTGTATAGGTGTTATTTTTGGTAATTGAGTTTAGATGATGAATATCTCCCAAAATGCTATCGAAAATTAGAATGTAGAGCTTTAGAAAAGTCATAATTTGTAATATCTCAACTTGCATACCATTTATCATAGAACTAAATCTTCCCCTTGGATTCTTAGAATTTACTTCGAGGACTCACAAAGTAAATTAGAAAGCAGTCAAAAACCAAGGCACCCATAACCCACCTGGCAAATGGGCAATGGAGAACATTGCCCCTGTTACCAAAATTAAAGGTTATGGTAAAGTAGTTGTAAGCCTTTAGATTCTCATAATTAAGTACTAGGATTCACAAAGTTAAGTGGAGAGTAGTCATAAACCAAGACATCATAGATCACCTGGCAAATGGGCAATAGAGAAGAACTTCTGCCTCTTGTATTGTACCAATTATAAAGGTTAAAGCTTATGTTACATAGTCCATAAGAAAGGCGACCTATTATAAGTTGAAGGGAACAAAAGAGCTAGGGGCAGGCCAAAAAGATCAAGGCTTAAAATAGTAAGAACTGATTTAAGAGACCACAATTTTACAATAGATATGGTACTGAACCGGATGGAATGGCAAAATAGGATTAACGTAACCAACCCCATATGGTTGGGACAATGCTTAGGTGATGATGACGGTGATGATGATGATGACGTTGACGATGATGATGATGTCAACGATGATGATGAAGATAGTGGTGGAAAGCCTAGTCAACATGCTGTCAAATTAAATAACACCATACAATCCATCACTTTAAATATGCCTACAAAGTTGTAATAAAAATACCACCTCTGCATTTAGTTTTTGAATTTTCTATTTTTCAAACATCACATGAAGAATCTACAACTCTTAGCAATTTGACCTAGAACCTTTCTAATCCATCTTAACCTTTCCCTTTAATTCTAAAATCATCTCTATACCCTTCATAACCTATCATCACCCACCTAGACTCATCCTTGGCCCATTCCAGTCCTACATCAAGGTTTCTGGATTTTTTTTTATGCAGCCTAGATGATATGACAAGTATTCATATCAAATATATGTAGCAGTGCCATTGTATTCTCATATGACCAGATCGTAGGTTGTTGTTAAACGGAGCTTTTCCAGTCTCCGCAAAGTCAAACTCATACATCCTCATGTCTTTTCCCCATAGAACACAACTCTCAAACTACATGAAAAATTAAATTCAAATTACCACTATCTCAAGATGAATGGTAGTGAACCAATTTTAGTTTTCCTATGGGAGCCCCGAGATCCATAAGGGAAAATGGTTTATATAGATCATCAATCATTTGTATCTCCTCATCAGCAGTGACATGAAGGTTTCGGTGCTTACTGCTTAGGATATACAAGAGCCAGATATCCTTTCTATACACAGGTAAAGTAAGTAGCTTCCTTGCTAAATCATCATGGAGGAACATGGTTGCTAGCTTCTGGTAAAAATACAGCAATAGGAACAACCTTCTCCTTATAGAAGTCATGATTATATCTCAATTTCTGTTCCACAGCATGGGCATATGATATTTACTGCCCTCTTCCTGAAATCTCATATCCATTTAATCATGGTCATAATGTATTTCTGGAAACAATCCTTGGAGATATCAGTAACAAGCATGTCACTTGGCTCAGATTATCTATAAGATACCATATAGCAAACATGGACATTTCTTATAGGCAGGTTTTCTTGTAGTAGATCTCACAGCTGATTGTACATTACCCCAGAATAATTCAAAGGAAGAAACTTTTCCTTTAGAGAATGTTTCAGTTTCCACGAGGAAGTATAGACCTAGTTTATGCCTGGTCTGGTTGCATATAATTCTCCTCCATGTCTAAGCGAAATCCTGAACCTGGTAGGATCTGCATGGCATACAAATGATTTTAACATGATCACAGATGTCATAGAAATAACTAGGGAAAAGCTTACAAGATTCTTTAGCAAATCATATGTTTGGGTGATGCCTTTTTTGTTTTCTTGTTAAATGGAATTTTGAAATTCCTTTTGTTCATGTTCCTTAATTTTGTTATTGTACAATGTTCTTGTGTTAATTTTGTTAAATTAGTAAAGGTTGTGGTTCTAGGAAAGCTAGGTTTATGCGGGACAACAGCAAAAGAAATTGGCTTTTGCAACCTTTCAGGGAGAGCAATATGCAACTTTTTGCCCTCATTTCTTTATGGATCTCAAGCAAGGCAGAGTCCTTAACTTCACAATATGCATCCTTTTCCTTGTTATTATTGTCATGCATCTTCTGACTTTTACTTTGTATAGATTCATGAATCTTGTCCTCTGTCTGTTAAAAGTTTGAAGTCTTTGGGAGATGAGATTATTGGGGAACAACATTTTACCATACGCGATTTCTTGGAATCAGTAAGTTAATATTTTAATTGTTACCTGGGAAGGATTTTTCCTGTATTTCATCTTTTATAGCCATTTATGTGGTTTACCTTCTACTGCAGGAGGTGGTCTTTATGCAGGTAAATCTTGTTGAGATAAAGAGCTTTTTCTTTTATACCATCCAGGTTCATCAGAGTCCTTTTCAGGTGTTGGACTTTGAGATTGGTGTTTCAAATATTGCTTTTTTATTCCTGGAAGATCTTTTAATTCAGTTCAGGTGAATTTTACAACACCTGTTCCTTTCTCTTTAATGTCCGCATTTGCTTACTCCATCTGTTTTGTCTTTTCATTTTGGAATTCAGGGAGCTAGCAAGAGTTGGGGAACTAGTGAACTTTGAAACATGCATGAATATCATGGATCTTCTTTACGAAACAGAGGAGACATCATCACTTTATGCATCTCCTTGTTCTCTTGCAGCATCTATCTTGGCATGCTTCTTAACATAGTATTGTGGATATACTGCTTACAGTAATTCAGAACTATTGCATCTTATTCCCCTCCACCCAAAAAAAATTCTTGGGTAAGATTAGTGAACTATTTGCAGGTGGCCTCATATGTTATAACAGTACCTAAGCAGCAGTGGGAGTTTCCACTTCTTCCATGGGGTAAGTTTCCAATGACAAACCTCTTGCTGATGCCTTTTATGATGTTTTTTTCATCATGTGAATTCTATTAGCAATGTTATTTGTGATGTTGGTATGAGACGGTATAGTTTTTTCCTTTTCTACATTTTTATTAGTGCAAGCAAGCTGTAGTGGATATTGTTCTTGGTCTCATGCTGTCTGTTTATACATTTGAATTGTTGTTCTAATTGTGCCTGCACTGACTAATCAGAAATGTTTTAAATTTGAGCCACAAATTATGAAGCACCTGCTGCAGCAGTTCCTTTAGAAGAGATTATATCACACCAATAACTGTTTCACTTCAGCCAACGTTTCATGTTCATTCATTGGTTGATCTTTTTTTTTTTTTTTTTCCTTTTTCACTCATAGTTTCAAGGTGGGATTTACATTTGCTATGCTGTAGCATACCTCTCATGAAACCATTAATGATGAACTAATAATATGTTAATTTTCTGTCCAAACTGCAATTCCCAAACCTGGCATGTTCCTGAGGAGTCTCTTTTATTGTAGTAAGTAAGAGATTGTATTTGAAGTATTGTATACATCCTAAGGTGCCAACTGGCTCAGTTGGTAAGGTCTCTGGTTGATAGTAATGGAGACTTGGGATTGATTCCTGCCTTCACCCAGGTTGGGCGGGCCATGGGTATGGGTGATGGGCTACCCCCCTCCCCCCGGTTGAGTAGCTTCATGAAGCCAAAAGTACAAAAAAAAAAGTATCATATGCATCCTGTGTATTCCTCTGAGTTAAATTAAATCATAGTTTCTGCATCTGCATGGTTATAAAAACCAGGCAAAATGATCAAAGAACCTTATGCATGATCTCTAAGTTTAATAATTCAAATCATGTTCAAGTATTGATATTCTGAATTTGCAAAAATTGTGCATCTAGAGTTTTCAATTTGATATATTTACAAATAAATATATTACACAGGATGTTAACATTTGAACCTATTAAAAGGTCCTAAGTCAGTAAATAGGGTTTATGTATCATATGATGCGGTACAATATGTATTGTTACTTTTGAATCATGATTAAGTATACGTACCATATCCATACTCTTAGCAAATCAAATTATAGTCTGCTTTCTGTTACTAAATTTAGATTATTTATGTAAATCTAGTGATGATCAAATCTGCCCAAGCCTGGGCACAACTTTATAATCCAACCCACCCTGGCCTAGGCCAACATTACATCCGCACATAATGTAGGTCAGGCCCAATGCATCTTAGTTGTTTGTAATTGTTGAAGTTGATTTGTATGATACTATGATGTAATATCAGATCCATTAGGATTATTATTACTAGTAAGTGTGCACATGCTTTGCACATGACAATTTTTTATGATGATGATGAAAGTAAATAATATGTTTTCAAATTTCTACATTTTTTTTTATTTTCCATGTCTATAAAATTATTTTTATTTGGCACCCTTATTTTGTTTAATGTGATGTTTTTTAGAGATGTGCCCAAATGTTTTTTACATTTTTTTGGTATTTTTGTATACTTTTATGTGTTTTCATTTTTCAACTTTTATTAGTATTTAATTATGACATCTAGGGTTGACACATTTGACCTAAAAGGATGAATTGTTGACTCATCACCAAACTGGAAAACAATTCCTTTTTTTGTTGGTTTTAAACTTATAGTTTATTTCTATCATTACTAAAAACAATTATTCCTTGTCATGCTTATTCTTCTTTAATATTGTTAATTAATATAGGATTCGGTGAAAGAATGGGAGTTAATACCCTAAATATAAGACTTAATGAGAGGTAATTAAATGACGAGAAATGTAATAGTTCAAATTACTTTTTGCGCCCTCACAATTAGAGAGGGACCAAATTAAAAAATATGGGTATTTTACTCAAGAATAGGATTCAATGAATGTTAATGGGAATTCATATCTTAAATATAAGACTTAATGAGAGGATTTGAATGAGGAGAAAAGTGGTTGTTCAAATTCCATTTCTCTCCTTACAATTAGAGAGGGACCAAATTTAGAAATTAAGATATTTTAGTCAAACAAAAGTTCTGATGTCGCGCGATCTGGTTGTTCCCTCGTGTCAGGCAACTCAGATGCTGATTCAAGTGGTTCCCTATCTGGGCCGAGCTAGAGATGTCCAAGCTGATATATTCTGCAAGAAGGAAGATTAGAGTGCCCGGGTTATCTTTACCCGAGGAGGGCACTCCGATGCTTAAGTCAGAGAGTGTTTGAGAGTTCTCTAAGAAATTGAGAGAGCTTGAGAGTGTATATTCACGCGTACCTTCATAGGTAGAAATAAGCACCTTATATAGGTGTCAAAGGTTTGAGACTCCTTACAACGAGTCTCATCTTCTCATGGAGCTGTTTCCGCATAGTTAGTTGAGTTATTATGTCGGTTACGTGATCTGCGTGGGCGTTACGGCTTACCCAAATAACTCTGGCACGGGTAGGTCGGCCTAACGATCGAGCGTTATTACTTTGGTGAGTTTGGTTTTGATAACAAATCTATGTAATAGGTCGGCGAGCACGCCTTGTAGGTCGTCACTTATACCCTACTTAGCTTGGTTGATCTCCAAAGGAGGTCGCTCCTCAAGTAGAGGTCCTTTAGGTCCAGCCATAGGCGAGGTGCTACTAGCCGACCTGTTGGGGTGATCTGATTACTCAATGTCGAGGTGTCACCCAGATGCCATGTGTCTCCGAAGTTAGGTCGCCAGGTTGACGGAGGTAGGTTGCCATGTCTCCAATAGATCTCCGAAGGTAGGTCGTCAGGTCTCTGAAGGTAAGTCGCCAGGTTAGCGAAGGTAGGTTTCCAGGTCTCCAGTAGGTCTCTGGACGTAGGTCGCCAAGTCGGCGGAGGTAGGTCTCCAGGTCTCCATTAGATCTCTTGGAGGTAGGTTTTCAAGTCTCCAATAGGTCTCTAGGGGTAGGTCTCTAGGTCTCTAGTAGGTCTCTGGAGGTAGGTCTCCAAGTCTCCAATAGGCCTTTGGAGGTAGGTCTCCAGGTCTCTAGTAGGTCTCTGGTGGTAGGTCTCCGGGTCTCCAGTAGGTCTCTAAGGTCTCTAGGTCTCTAATAGGTCTTTGGAGGTAGGTCTCCATCATTTTGGCTAAAGAAAGTCATCACCTACATGGTATCGGAGTATTATCCAGCTATTTTTGAGATGCTACGTGTCATGATGTCAGTGGAGGGTCAAATCTTCCCTCATCAAGTTCCACACTATCGCTCACACTTTTGATGAAGAGTCCCAAAGAGAGATTTAGTGTATAGTGTTGTTAGTTAGACCAAAACGGTGTCTACTATTCCCTTCTCTTTTATCTCCTTTTCTCCCCATGACAAGATAGTCTCAATAACGAGACTTTGAGGAAGATCATGAATATGTTGATATATTCAAATCTATATAACTGAATCCTTTTTCAGTGTATTGATTATATTTATTATCTGCTACAGTTTTTGTTCACTGTTCTTACTCATCTTTCATTTAGTTTAATTTTTTTGGTGTTTTGGGATTTCTGCCATCTAATTAGTTCGATCTCCTCATGATCTCAGTTTTCTCTTGGGATTCTTGTTATCATATATTATATCAACTGTACACAATAATTCACGATTATATTATAAATAGTACTTACGGGATTTTACTATTTATACCTTATAGCAAGTATAATCCTTATTATAAATAATAACTTTGTTTACTAAAACGGTAACTTTGTACTATTATCTGTGACATTCTTGATTTTCCTGAAATTCAGAAGACTTTTTTGATCCTTAGGAAGGTAGCCTATTGACTTTGCCCAAAAATCCAAGCAAAAAAAATCAAAGAGCAATTGTAATTTTGATAATGGTTACTAGATGCTCTTTTTCTAGGTGGCACTCATGCATTGTTTGGTTACCTATAAATTTCTATAACGATGGGAAGTGATAGGGCAAGTTCTAGCAAATGCCCACCTCTTCTCCATTTTAGCGCCAATTAGTTTTGGGGTACTCCTGCAATGCTGAGGTGTGAGTTGTGGTTTCTTGACTAGAGTAACTAGTGAAGTACAATAGATGATCTATATGCGCAGCTGATTTGATACTTTAAACGTTGATTAGAGAAACCATATTTTGGTGCCTTGGTGGTAGTCCGATGAAACCCAATAACAAGACCCTGAATTACTGTTATGATTTTAACCAGAAAATTCATTATGTAAATTGGGCTGGTCTCAACTTTTTGAGTTAACGATTTGGAGGTCATGTAACATTGAAGGGCTTATGAAAATGTTTAAAATTAGAGGATGGGCAATTTTGGTGGGCTAGACTGTCAATAGGGTCAGAAATGAAGGGTCTCCGTTTGGCGTGTCTTTTTGGGAAGATCTTTTGGTAGTTTTGACATGCAAAAGATGCATTGAATTTTTGCATGAAGATCTGAGCAGCCCGAAGCACATTTGACAGATGCACGTCTTTTTATATGTTTTTCCGTGTCTTTCCGCATGAGAATAAAACGTGAAAGATGCAGAAAGCTTCATTTGAAGCCTCTCGAAATTAGCCCAAAATGGACTTCTCGTGTCTTTTCGGCGCTCTGTGTTTTGGCGGCTAAATCTTCTACAAATCAAAAGGAAATAGATCGAAAATCAATCTTTCCGATTTATTAACAGCCAAAAGACTGCACATAAAGATATACCAAACGAGCCCAAAGTCATACCAACGAACCAACCTAGGAGTAGTTCCAACAGTTGATAAAATTAAAAGTAAATAAATTGATGTGATTTGGTCAGAAGATCATCTATAGCACCCATCAGAACAAATGGTCTATTATAAGTTGAAGGGGTAGAATGATTAGAGCACCTCTATAGCGAACCCCATATAATTGAGATAAAGGCTTAGATGATGATGATGAATTGATGATAATAAGTCAACCATGTACCATTTGCTATGACTCTATTGGTCAGAATCAGAGTGTTCTCATGCATCATCATAGAGAGAGATAATACATTGCAGATCGGCAAAGAAAAGCTCATTCAAATTCTGACAGATCCCATACCTTCCTCTATGAATATGAGTTTTAGTATTTATGGCTCCGTGGCTATTTGCCCAACGTGGAAACTGACAAATGAGGGAATGAGTTTACTACAGTCCCCACATGACCCATGACAATATGACATTGCCTCCAACTCTCTCTAGTCTCTAGTATTTGTATCTGTCAGCCCTCCACAGGCCACGGTCCCACTTGAATAAAGGAGATACGCCCTTCTTAGTAACTGATAAGAGAAGATCTCCTGTTAGTTTGAATTGTCATTTCATTCATTATATGCAATAGTAAAGTTGTTTTATCTCATTATATTAATAATATTCAATATCCGAAGTCAATTCGGATTCAATCTGAATCCAATGGATAAGATTCAATCCAAATGCAAAAATCAACGCATTAAATTTTGATCCTGTAGGCTGTAGATTCAATTCAATACAATCCATTCACAGCCCTAGAATTGTTCCTTGTCCTCTAAAGTGATAATCACCATGAAAGTACTCTCTTTCTTTTCCCCTTAAACATGGCGATGTCTGTCATGGTGCTTCTTGCCAGGATGGGCCCTGCCAGAGCGAGCCAGTTTGCTTCGCCGAAGGTGCTAGTTTGTTCTGCCAACTGCTGTCTTCTCACTCCTGAGTCCCGCCACTGTATTCCTTTGTCCCTGCATCCATTTGATGCCAAGCTGTGTAGGCCCTCACTTCTTTAGGCTTAGTTTGTATGTATAAATACAAATATTTTGTATGTATTTGCTCTGTACTACTCTTTCCAAACTGAGCCTTAGCGTCCATGTTCTCAGGCCAATTGGGTTGGGCCGTTATCATTCTAAAGAACTTGGCCCAAGTTGATTAAGCCATCAACTCTGGGCTGGGCTTAGTAGCAACATGGGCCAGCCCATATGCCACCCTATCCCCTAGGCAGGTCTCACACATGTTGGTCCAATCAAATGGAAATGGTCAGTTCTCTACCCTTCACAATCACCACCATATGCCACATCAATGGCAAGAGCAGTAGAGCTTCTTTCCTTCTTTGGATGAGAATTTCCCCATTTTCAACGGCAGTGATTGTTGACCATTGACCCACCGGCCAATCGACCCACCAGATTCTACGGTGGTCCTGGTCCACCAAGAGGATGATAAATGTGGTCCGTGTACAAATAAATAGAGACAATTCAAGCTCAATCCAGATCAAATTAAGAGTCATCAACAATCTCTAGTGACCCGACCAGCTATGATCTTTCTCCTCTACCCACTTTTGTGCTGGTCCCCGTCGATAAGCTCCAAAGAGAGTGTGGGCCCTCATATCTCCCCAATTTCAACAGGATCGGTGGTTGGGTCCACTTAGAAGTATCCTCTGTGCACTAGATGCCACATCAACCATCCGTTTCTCATGAGAGGTGGTGGGTCCCTCTTTATGTGCAACTATACATGGTACATGGAAACCCATAATCTCTCACCTTTTCTTTTTTATTTATTATATTATATTTTCTTATATATCTGTCTCTTTAGTGTGATGGGTTCCGCCTTTTTTTTTCTTTTTTGATTACATGGGAGGCTTTAGAAGGGGCTTACAGACTTGCAGTTGGATGTTCCAGGCCAGCCTCATTTGCACATCCTGCGCACTGTGCGTATTGTAGGGCATGATACAAACCCCACTTCACTTCTGTCATCAAGATTCAAAAAGCAGTGGTTGTATACACGGTCAACCCACACGTGTGAAAAAGTCCAGTAGGGAAGGGGAAGGATTCTCCCAGCCTTGAGCTTTTTTGCTTGTCTGCCCTTATCCATGTATATTTGGGTCATTGATGGGTGAAGATGAGTTGATGATGATAATGGTGACGACATGGTGGGCTCCATTTTGACCCCACCATCCCTTACATCTAATCTCACCTTCCAAGTGAAGTGATCCACCCACCATAGGCTTGACTCTTGCATCTTCTAACCCTTAAATCACCAAACAAAGTTTGCAGATCAGACAACTCGCACACATTTCTTTTTTCCATTTCAATTAATGAAGCTTGAAAGTTGAAATTGCCTAACTAGCTGTTCTTCAAACCTTAGACCATGTTTGTTTGCATTAGAAAACACATTTATTGGACAGACTTATGAACCACAGAGTTGATCTATGAATCCTTTACTTTCTAAGAAAAAAGAAATGGTCTGTGACTCTGTGGATTGTATCTGCATGCTTGAATAGGGGGTCCCATTTCCATGAGAGATAACAAATGTCCGAATCTGTGGGCCCTTTTGTGTTTAAGGTCATATATGTATTCTATGAGATCAAAATAGATGTGGGGTGTTATTAATTCTTGTGGGGTTTGTTCTTGCAGTGAAGTTTGTGACTTCGTACAAGGAAGAAAGCATTGAAAAACTGGTTAGAACCATTCTTGAGCATGTATTGAAGGACCATCTCTTGGAGAAGAAATCAGTCTTGGAGGAAAAGGTATGATAACTTTGTTCAAAGGTTCAAGCTATATAGGGATCAGATCAAATCAAGAGGAGACATGAGAGTTGAGACATGACATGATTGATGAATTGGGCATGAACCACTTTATCAGGGATGGAAGTAGGGTTAGATCCTCTATACAATGAAATGAAGAACGTGTGATTACAGTCACCTGAGACATTTTAATAAATGCATTTCAGGACTGTCAAACACTTTAAGATGGTGGACTCCACCATACGGCCACTTGATGCCTTTACAAAGTCATGCACTTCTACTGGGTTTCTCCAAGGTTCTGGGCTCCACCACACACACCATTTAATGCCTTTACAAAAAGCTATGGATTTCTACTCGGTCCCCTCCCCCATCCTCTCTCTTTTTGTGTGTGTATGTTCTGCTTTTGGGTGTTTAAGGTAGCTGCCATTGTTTTTGGTTGGAGGGACTCTGGACAAACTCATACAATGATTGATTGAAAGTTTCGGCATTTGGGCTCTCANGGGGGGGATCCTGTATATGTACAATAAGTCCAATACTTCTTAGGTTCTATAATCACTAAAAGCCTAAGGGTTCATTTGGTTCGCAGTTGGAATCAGAATTGGAAGGAGAGCCCCTTAAAACTGGAATTGAAATGATCTATTCCTATAACTAGAAGGGAATCAGAATTGGAATTGAAATAAACTGAAATGGAATTTTATTTTCAAGAGAGGGGAGGGAATGGCCATTCTTTTAAATGGGAGAATGCCATTTCACCAAAAATAAAAATGGGATTTCGATTCCAAACCTTATTCTCGCAAACCAAATGTACCCTAAAAATGTTACTATTCGGCTTTGTTACTTTACCTACCAACGGCTTTGAGCTCTTCAACGCAACCTTTCTCTCATATTTGGGTATCTTAATATCACATTAGGTGTTATTAGCTGTCTTGGGACTGAATAGAATCTCGTTCCCTATTTTAATTATTTTTTATTCTTCCACGCGTGAAGAGAAGCCATTAGAGTTGCAGAAGAGAAAATCACTTCTTTGTAGTTTGTACATACTCACAGATATGTTTTTGTTTATCACCCAATTCTTTTAGAGCTCATGTAAATCACTGATGCAGATATTAGGGTTGTACGTATTATCCATATTGATTTGCAATTTTGTATACAAAAATGTTTTTAAATGTTGGCATCTGCCTACCCCAGCTTGACTTTCCTCCAACCACCCCTCTCCCATTTTGGAGAAAAAATAAAATAGAAAGATTCGCTTTAGCTAGAGAAGTTTTTTTCCAACAACCCATAATTTATATAAAGGGAATTAATTTGGGCAGATCCTATTTTTGATAAACCGGGCACATCCCTAGTGGAAATGCAAGATGCTTTTTGTAATGATAAATTTTAATTCTTAGGAGGTTCTTTTATCTTTTAAATATATATCTTTAGGTTTTGCACCCTTTGGGAAAAAGGTATTTGCCCAGATCACTTTCATATATATACAAATTAAATACATTTTAGATGCAAATGAATCTCAAGTCTCAACTTAAAATAATCGCTTTTTATTCTAGTGACACTTGTGGAAGGGAGCCAACAGCCCACAATAAAATTTCTAGTTCTAGCTTTACGTATATTAAATGGAACAATAATCATGGTTTAAATAAATTATTCAGAATAAAGTGGCAGGCACCATAAATATTCTTACATGTTTCTTTAGATCAAGGCCATATCTGTCAGTTGAAGAAACCAAGGGAAAATCGTCAATTTTCCTTTGACATCATCATCATCATTCAAGTCTTATCTCAATCAAATGGCATTGACTACATGATTTTTGTTTCACTGCATTGTTTAATATCATATTCATTGTTAAATTACGAATATTTAAATTATTTTTTACTATTTTGATTCATATCTTTTTTTTGTTTATCCCTAGTCCTTTTAGCCTCTTCAACTTACAACAGATCGTTACTTTCTACGGGTGTTGTCAATGGTCTTCTATGCACATAAATTTTCTTAATAATAATAAATAACAACAATAACCAACCACATAACATTTAACTCAAATTTCACCTACAGGAGCTCTAACTCATGGGTGAACAGTTTGGATTATGCTTGGGATTTCAGTCCCTTAATTTGTGGCTTCAACCTTAGTTTATTAGTTCACAAGCATATGGTTTCTTTTTCGCCCTCAGAGTCATCAATCTTACATTATAACCAAGTTCTTAATTGAAGGCCGAGTTTAGCCAAGACCACCATCATTGTCATTGAAACTTTTCATATTCTTATTCCTTCTTTCATAACATGGTTGGATTACATTTAATTGTCGGCAAGTAATAGTACTAGCCCAAACCCAATTGGTGCTAATTGCTTTGTTTTAAGTCCCCACCACTAGTTAATTTGCTTTTCTTTTCTTTTCTTTAGTTGGTGATGTTGATCAATATTCGCTTAAGCGCCCCCTTGCTTGCTTTTTTTTATTCTCCTTTATCTTTTGGGATATTGCTAGATAATGGTCCCTTTGGCCCCAATCCCTGAAAAATAATCCAAGTCTCCATCAACTTAATTTGAGCAAGGAAAGCTCCAAGAACGACTACAAGTTCAAAAGGTAGGCTTCTTTATTTACTGAATCACAATCTCACGTTTTTAGCAACTTGAAATCAGCCACTTGGGTTGATCTGTGATAAAAACATATACCTGATCAAACAGTTGGTATAAGCTTTATCAGTGGCCTTTCTTAGAATAAAATGATCATTTACATGTATTGTCCACATGTTATAGTTATACCAAATTGAACTTCTAGTCTTTTGAAAATTAAAAGGGAAAAATTATAAAATATACCCAAAGTTCAAAATATCGCAATGTATCGACGTGTAGTGACAATTATATATCAGTTTTAGATGTTTTGGCTCAACTCTTGAAACTTAATTAATTTTTAAATGAAGTATATCACCATTTAAATCATGTGATGTGCAAAACTTGTATATCACACATATTGATACTTTAAACCTTGAATATATCTGATCATACAGTTGGTATAAGCCTTTCTTAGAACAAAATGATCATTTACATGTTGTCTTGCCTACATTTTATATCAAATTGAACAATTGGAAATTGAAAGGAAAAGGAAAAGTTCAAAATTAGCATTAAAGAGACCCTAGATGAACTCCTACACACACAGAGGTGGAAGCTCTCAAAACAACATTATCCCCAAAAGGTTGTAATTCTATCCAAATTCCTAACTTAGGCTTAAGTTTGATTTGTATGGAATATGGTAGGCAAAACGTCAGAGAAGTTATGGATGATTAGGTCCTTTTCCACGTCTCCACTCCTTAATTTTGAAAGCTACTTTATAATGGATCAATCAACCTTATTGATGCAATTATCAAATCCGGTCCAGATGCTAAACCGGATGGGGCTTGTCTGAATAAAATATCAAGCCGAGTTGAGCCAACAACTTACTACAAAATACACTTGTTGTTGTTTGAGTCAATTTACAAGCTGGGCCCAACCAACAAGGACAGTCAGCTTTTTGGGCAAATCCAACTAAGGGTGAATGGGCATTTACTGGTTTAATGGGCCCTGATTGGTTTTGACGGCTGTAATGAATGGGTCCAAAAAAATAGTATCCAAGGCGTTAGGTGCTTTGAAAAAAAGAAAATCGCGGGCCCATTAAGAACACTATCTTGGTTTTTTAATCTTGTTATCATCTTTCCTCTATGATTGTTATGATTGACAATAGAACAATGTGGGTCAACTGGGTTGATCCTCCCCTGCCAGCTAGGGTTTTTTGTCTTGTGTGTTCTCTTCAAAGTCCTCAATCCTAACCATGGTAGTTGCAAAATAGGATCCTAAACCATTCAATCTCTATCATTGCCCATGCATTATTGCTTTTTTTTTTTCTCTGTTACATAATCAAATCTAGAAACCTAATCCACCATCCAATTAGTGCTTCAAGTTAGAGACCCATGATGGTCTTTATGTTTGGTTTAGGAAAAATCATTCAGGCCAATTTACTGTGTAAATGTGCAACCATGGAACATTTTTGGCCCCAACCAAAGCAATTTACAGGGGCAAAATCAAAAGCACCTCAATCTTCTGTCTGTCAAATTAGCACCATTTGATTGGTTCTTACTTCTGAGCTCACAAGGTTAAAACAACTTTTATAATTACTAAACTTATTCTAATCAAGGTTGAGACAACCAAGGACACCCTCAGATCAAGGGTTGCAGATTGGAGACTTGGAGTCTCAGAAGTTGTTTTAACCTTGAACTGGGTGTTAGTCTAGAACAAAAACAAGAAAAAAAGAAATAGATTGATTGAAGGGGGNGGGGGGGGGTTAAGGGGAATGTGTACGAAATAAACAGTTATGGTGGTCACCTGTTTTTGACCTAAATGCATTGGTACACAGTTGCATATATTTAACAGGCCTGAATAAAGAATGTCACAATCGCCTGAGTTTCAGGAGAGGAGACAGACATTCTTCCCCTTTGTACTAACATACAGTAAGTTCTTGAACCATGGAAGTAAGAAGGATCACAAAGAATCTTGGAGTTTACGGTGTTGAATTTTCCTTGTTAATTTAAAGAATTAACAATATGGCCAAACCCACCGGGCGGCCATGCGATCGACGGTTAAAGGACATATATTCCAGTGTATGTGAAAGGCTTCCAGTGCTTGATCCAAAACAAGAAATCATCCTTGGATCAATTTAACAGTCTGATAGATAGGAGCCTGAGCAGAACATGAATTCATTTAGTTAATTGGTTGGTTTTGATCAACTTTGGTCCCTTAACCTAATTACACATAAATCACGAAATCTGAAGTTTTGTTTTTGATGGGTTTCTTACTAATGTGGAGGGGTGACAATGCAGGTTTGAAAGAGTAGAAACTCATTGGATTAGACATGTATCTAGTTTTTGTGTCCTTATCAACTTCAAACATTAAGTACAAATGTACAATAATCACTCTGCTGCACTCTTCCCCTATAAACAACAGCCCATGCAATTCCTTACTTAACCCATGTAATAGAAATGGTATGAAACTTCAACCTATATATCCAAATGACATATCAGAAAGAAACACATGAACCCATTTTGAATTGCCCCCTGAGCTACCATGTGGCAAATGTGATAAAGAAGGGTTTCAATTTTCAACTCTCAACTCCATTTGCTTCTTCATGCTACATTAGGGTTTTAAATTTCGGAGACTCGGGTCACTTTTCGACCCAAGATCAATGAAAACTCAAAATTTATTTTATTTTATTAATATGTTTTATAATTGATTATTTTTTTTCTGCATTCATGTTCCTTAATTTTATTGGTTAAAAACAATCAAAATTTCAGACTTTTTACCCAAGGCTTAAAGTATTGATACACCCAGATGTATCGGCAGGGCTGTTTCGAGGATTTTTAACCCACACTTTTTTTAGTTTTTTTTTTCAACTTTCATTTTTACACATTTTTATATTGTTAATCAATAAAAATATTGGTTTCCTGAAAACACCTGGTGTATCAGAAACCCAAAAATACATTACAATACACTTGATACGAGACGTATCGTATTATACTTTGAACATTGAACATAAGTGAAACCAAAATTTACAAAAATTTCACTAAAATTTTAATAAATGATTAGTATTTTGAACAAACCAACACTGAAGTGAGGATACCTTACCATAAACAGGACCCTTCAGTTTCTCTATTCAAGCCTACCATGTGATTCTCAGGTAATCCACCCTCACACTATTGAATGGGTAATTGGTTCCACCCACCTAAGATACTACTTACATCAAGAGTGATCCTAACTACCTTTAAATGTGCCATCAAAGCTCCAAAATGATTTACACTTGACATGGGATGATTAAGTTACCTTCTTGTGTAGGCAATCCCCCTAAAGAAGTGGGCCACTGAATGGTGGGCTGGGCCCCCACTTGGAAAGGGGAGGAGGTCATCTATGTGCATTACCATGAGGGCACACTCATTGCACAACTGCCCTTTTGATTTCAAGCAAAGAAACAGAAATTACTTGTGCTTTCCTTCCCCTTTTCCACTGATCTTTACTCTACTCTTCTAGTTTGCCTTTCTTGTAGAAAAAAAAATGAAAAAAGGAGAGGAAGCAAGCAAAGATTGGTAGAAAACCAGAGGACGGGTGGAGGGTCACATCCTAGCCAACGGCCAAAATGTTGCTGTGGGCCCCACCCCACCACCCTCCAATACCCAATACCTTTCATTTACTACTTCCACAGTTTCACAATTTTGTATTTCAAATTTTCAACCCAAATACAGTGTTGATGAAGGCCGGCCGGCCTCGAAGGAATGAGGACTTGCACTTCACCTTCACCAATTGGGTCCCACTTCAACCTCTTGGTTCATTCCTTACGGGTTTTGTTTTTGTTTGGATGAGATTGCCAAAATCCAGAACCTGGCCCTACATCGGACATGTGGCAAGTGATTCGGTGGTGGGTCAAAGTTGTAAACAGAGATTGGGAGAAAGAGTGATGGGCATGGGCTTCACCAATTGGGCCCCACTCCCACCTATTGGTTCATTCCTTAACAGGTTTTATCAACTTCTAAGCTGCATCACACCTCATGCTTCTTCCTCTCATCACCCCATCCATGGCCTCTCATAAGACACGTGGCAAATTATTCTATGGTGGGTCAAGTTATAGACAGGTGGCAGATTCTGGAGCTTGCAAGTTGAAAGTTGCAGCCCCCCATTCAAAAACTCAAACCCTTACAAATATCCCTAAAACCAAAAGAAATGATTCCAATTCAACCGTTATCTGGCATTGATAGTTTAATGCACCGAACCGCGTGTATGAGCACAGGCAGAGTCCGGATCACCTGCCCAGAAAACACGTTCCAACCCTCTATAGGAGTGTTTACGGGTCGGATTGGGTTGTGTACTTTGTGTTTAGTCATTTTTTTTCAATTGATTTGACTAGTCGATATATTTATTGACTAAATTATAATCGACTGACCCTTAACCAAAATCAATCCAAACATAAAGGGTCAGTTTATTAGTTTAGTCATTTATATATATTTTAAATTAAAATATCTCTATCTAAATATCTATTTATATTTAAATTTATTTATTTTTAATCTTTATGTAAAATCAAAATATATATTTAAATTGATTAAATTTTTATATAAAATTGATCTTTTTGTCAATATATATTTAAATTTATATAAAACTGAATTAAATATTGTACCTTTATATTATATTTGTATTGGTTTTATGTTTTTAGTTTTTATCATAAATAATCAATTTTTTAAATTTTAAATAAAACACAAATAAAATATATCAACATTTAACATATAGAATAGGGACTAATTAATAATTACTTAAAAATATAAGATTGATTCGATTCGATTTGACTTCGGTTTTCATATGAAAACCGAAACTAAACTGAATTATCGGTTTATTTTTCATATAAACCAAAACCGACCAATGATTTTGAATAACCAACCAACTTGGGTTGGGTTGGGCCAGTTTGATTAACTTAATCGGTTTGACATTTAATGTAAACACCCTTACAGCTCTCTCATAGTAAGATATGCGATGTTAGATCAGATTGATAGAGGGTTGGAACATGTTTTGTTGGTAGAAGATCCCAATTTCATATAAAGAGAGTATTTGATTCCGTTTACAGTGCCACATAGGTGCCAGCATTTTTTCTCTCTTACTCTTCTTCATGCATCAAAAATAAAAAAAAGTCAATTTTAGTTTTTGTACATGCCAACCATTTGTAGAATTTAGTGGTGCCTAATTATCAACGATTGTAGTTATTGCATTTCTCTATTTTAGGCCCACAAGAAGTTCATCTAATTCAAGGTGGGGCATGACAACGAATTAAAGGCTTTTGATTCAGTTGTTTCAGCGCAGGGCTGCGACACTGTCGTAGCAAATAAGGATTGCCAAAGAAAAAGCAACACTCAGATGAAGAGATCTCAACCGTCCATTTAATTATCACTAATTAAACAAAATTAACTAAATATATAAATTATTAACTATTTTCTGTTTTTTTCACTTTCTTCTTCAACGTAATAATATGTTCTTCCGACAGTGACGCTTCTACTGCTACTACTCTTCCAGCTCTTCTTCTCTGTAAACTCTCTCAAGAAAGCTTGCTCTGTTTTCCTTCGTCGATTTTTTTATAATTTCGATAGCTTTTCCGAGCAGCAATTTCGAAACAAACCTAGATATTTCCGCTAACGTGCGCATTTCCGTTTTCATCATTTTCACTCGCTCCTACCCGAAACAGGAGCGCATTTTAGCTCCCTCGTCAAACCCTAACTTTCTTTCCTTTTTCTTTTCCTGTTCAGCTTTTGTTTAAGCTCTTGACTGGCGGTTTTTTTCTGTAGTGGAGCTTGCCTCAGAATTTGGTCTACCCGTTCCGTTTTCCGGTGTCAGAAAACCCTAGAGATATTTAAAGTATTCCACTTTGTTGGTTGTTTGTTGAATTTTGAAGGTGTCTTGTCGTATGAGGTCTTTAATGGCGTTTTGTTGATGCAGAGCATCAGATCTGACGAAGCCGTTGGTGTCTCAACCGACCGAGGCATTAATGTGGCTTGCTCTCTTGGCCTTTTTGACTTAAAACTATCATGTTTCTCTCTCCTTCAATTTTTGCTGCTTCTCTATACTCTACTTTCCACCCTTGAACACCGTTTTCTTCTCTTCCTTTATTTCTATATCTCCGGGTGAGGTGGTGGTGGAGAAAATAGGGTTTCACCTTTTCTAGCTTCTTTTCTGGCTTTCTATCTTGCCTGTGGAAAGGTATTTGAAGCTTGAATCTCAAGAAAGAGGAAGCTGAGCTTGAATTCGTACGAATGCAGGTGCTTGGAAGCCCTACCAGTGTCCGTATAGACATTAGCTGTGGTTCTTTACTCAGAGAACTTCAGGTCTCTCTCTCTCTCTCTCTCTCTCTCCTTTTGCAATTAATTATCTTCTTTTTCTTCTTTTTGTTTCCAATCTCCGCTTTTCCTGGAAAATTGTTTTATTTTCATTGGCCACCTTTTGATTCTTAAAATTTTTGTAATCGAGCTTCTGTATTCATTTGATTTAAGATGGACATCTGTTCCTCTTTCCTGCTTTCCATGATCGGCTTTTCACAGGAAACAAAAGCTGTGATGTCCTCTGTTTTTTTCTGCACGCCTCCCTCTCATTTTTTTCCCGAACTTTTGAAGCAAATTTATGTATTTACTGGAAAAGAAGACAAATGGGTATGATTGAGAATTGTTTAAGAAGAGGGAAAAAAGGGAAAATAGTTGAGATTGCAGTTTGGTATTGTTCCCTTGTGCTTTCTTTCTTTCTTGTTTTTTAATGGTTTGGAGAAGAAGTTAGAAAATTAGGAGTGATCTATTAACTAGAAAATAAAGGTATTTTTGAGTCGTCCTCTTTTCTTCATCTAGTGGATTTTTATTACATTTCTCGGATCTGAAACTTAATTTTGTAACTTTTACTCTCTTTCTCTCTCTCTGTCTCTCTCTCAAGCACACACGTACAGTTTGGTTCAGTTATTCTAATTTCGGTCTTCTCTGAGAACAGCACATATGGGATGAAATTGGTGAGAGTGAAGCTGACAAAGAACGAATGTTGTTGGAGATTGAGAGGGAGTGCTTACAAGTGTACCGGAGGAAGGTTGACGAGGCAAGTAACACCAAGGCGCGCCTTCATCAGTCTGTTGCTGCCAAGGAAGCTGAACTTGCCACGCTTATGGCTGCACTTGGGGAGCTTAATCTTCATTCTCAAGTACTTGTCATGTTTCATGAACCCTGCCAATTCTCTATGCTCTTTTCTCCGTTTTATTACCATGTTGCATTCATGAATTAATTGTGTGTTTCCCTACTGTTGCTTTCTTTCTTCCTTTTGTTTGCCATCCAAATTTTCTTCTATTCAGAATATCTATTTATTAGTTTTTACTGTTGAGTCATCTGGGCGTGCATTTTGTTAATCGACTCTCTCTGGTTTAATAATTAATAGTGCTGCAATGTTCTTTTTATCGTTCAGTATATTTATTCTAGAAGAAGTTTTTTCATCCCAAGTGTCCAGGATATTAGGATAGCTAGTGACATCTAGTAGGAACTGTAATGAAGAATTATCAAAATTATGATAAACCCATCTTCCTAGAGTATAAGTTCAATTTGCAACTGCAGTATTCCAAAAATGCCCACAATTAGAAGTTTATAAATTAATCAATAGGACTTTTGAGTTCCTACAAAAGAAGAATGTTTAGTGGATCCGAAAGAATTTATCTCAGCAAAACACTCTGCCAGGACTTGAGAAGTAGAAGTAACAAATTAATGTCAGTGTTATTAGAAACATGGGAACGATCCTTACTAAATGATGCAATGGGAGGATGTATTAATGCTTAATGAGATGTTGAATTCACTTGTTTTGGTAGAGGTCCTGAGGTACGTGCCTCCCTAACTATTTGGAGAGTAGGATATCAGTATATTCTGCCTATACTCTGCAAATAAAGTAAAAGACATATATCCATCAAAGGAAGACAAAAATAAAAGGTATAGATAAGAGAATATGCAGGTGTATTGCAGAGAAAAAGAAAGAAATGAGGGAGCAGAGCCTTTATTGTGGCTATAATCAGGAAGATCGAAAAAGAGTGATTATAAAAGATTTAAAAAGAAGAACAAAAGAAGGGGATTAACCCATTTATGGCTCTTTAATTTCAAAATTGTTTTTTTCCCCGATATGATGCTCTTTTCAGCATTTTACCTTACACAATATGGTATATTTAGCTGCATTACACCTAAAATTTATTAAACCTACCATATAGACACATCAAAGTGAGGCACAGGCAGTATTGCAGGGACACCTTAGTTTAGGTAGGGATTCCAAAGTTGTCACATGCCCATGACTCAACTAATGACAGACTTGGCAGATCCCTTGTCAGACTCAGCTTCCATATGAATCTAATGGATTTACAATCATACCCATGATGTTGACACATTTAACTGCTGAATGAGAGAGGGAGGGAACTGCAGCTGCAGAGTACAAAAATGGTTACAACCCTTACATTGCCCATGGGCTTTCTTTTGCACTAGTAGCAAGTGTTGTGGGCTGAAAGTTGGGCCTTGCATGCCAATTAGAAACACAATAAACAGAAAATATATATGGGCCCAAACAAGTAAATGTTATTCTTTCCATCTATTAGTCAAAATTTATAATTACCAATATGCACATAAAATGTGTTCATAAATCCTTATTTTTCAGCTTTGCTGATTCAAACACCTTGACAAATATATTCTGATAGAAAAACACCTTGACAAGTTGTGGTTGCTCTTTCCTTTTCAACGTCCATGCAAAATTAGGCACAAGTCAATCACAAAAGAAGACCTTGTTGCCTAGGCTTCGGCAAAGTTCCCACCTTTATTGTGCTATATTAATGAATTCCTTTGATCTTGTTATTGATAGAAAAAAGGTATAAGAAAATCTATAACTATTGAGTAAAAGCATAGAACTAGTTTGAGACAGTTTTGGTAATGTCATACTAATTTTTTTGTGCAATTGGTGGCATATGGCCAAGATGTTATATCATTGCCTGTGTATTGAATCATTGTGCTGCATGCCTCTTATTTTTTTGGTTTGTGATTCTAGCCACTCAAGGTGCAAGGTGTTCCAATTTAATGTTATTTAACCATGGTAGTAGAGTTACAATGTTGATTGAAAGAGTTTGGTGGGAGGGGTTAATATGTCCCATTGTTCTGTGACGTCATTGGCTACTGCTTCGACTGCAAATATTCTATTCTACCTCATACTATTTCATTTGATTTGTCAAAGAATTTTTTGGTAGTTTCTGTCTCTTTACGTTGATGTTAAGAGTAGTTACTGAAACCGCAAAACCTCATAAAAAGTAATAAACAAATTTTATGGGAATTGTTTGTAATGTTTCATCATCAATCAGGGGAAAAATTTGTAGTGTTTCATTATCTTGAAGCTGGAAGCTGGAGGTCATTGGTATCAACTGAAGTGTTGTAGTATTTTCCGAAAAGTTTAGACAGAAGTATGTTGTGCATATAAGTATCTTGCAACCATAAATAGTGTAGTACTTTAGTGTATCAGTAATGACATTAAAGCTTTTGTGATTTGCTGAGACCATTCACCTTAGCAACCTGTAAAAAGGATGGAACAGCCCTACGATGTTAAAAAATGACACTTTTGTGGTTTGGCTGTCTATTCTTTGGGCCTCTTCTCAGTCCTTTTTGCTCATTTTTAATTATAATGTAGAAAAGCCTTTCTTTACTTTCATTGTCACAGATAAAGACGCGTTTCTATCGTATTACATCTTCTTTAATGTCCCACACAAATATCTCTTTTGCAAATTGAGCTGAACTCTGATGTTCAAAATGCTTGTCTAGGTCATTCCATGTGTTATAACATGAACTACAAAATCTCTTGGGAGTTCATTAATTTGTGAATATTGCAGATACAGATAGATAAGAAGTCGTCATCTTTGAAAGAGCAACTTGCATCAATTACACCATTGGTAGAAGATCTAAGAATGAAGAAAGAGGAACGCATGAAACAATTTGCAGATATAAAAGCACAGATTGAGAAGATCACTGGAGAGATTTCAGGGTACACTCATCTAAATGGTGTTGTTACCAGAACCTTAAATGCAGAAGAACAAGACTTATCACTAAGAAAACTTACAGAATATCAGACACATCTCCACAACCTGCAAAAAGAGAAGGTCAGTAATTTTATCATTGAAATGACTAATTTAGACCAGTGAAAGAGTGAATGATTGCAACTATCATTATGCCATTGGACTAGAAATTCATATGATATTAAAATTCATTATTAATGACCAGAGATAAGCACGAGACACAAGCAACTCAAGAATCTATAATAATTCCATACATGTAAGTTTACTTTCTCACAAAAGGTAGCACTTAGATTGCCCCAAAATAGTAGGAAATACAAGGGGTAAGCAAGGTTCAAAGTATCACAATGTATCAGTGCGTATCATACAATACGTACCAGTTTTCAGGGTCACTGATACTCTAAATACTAAGAATTGGGTGATTTCAACCCTTTTAAATGTTAGTAGGTGATGTGATATATCCACCAACATATTACTGTACCAAAGAAAATTGGAAAAAAAAAGTTATGCTAGAATGAAAGTCTCAATACATGAATTTTACATATCAAGAGTATCAATACTTTGAACTATGGGTTAAGCCCAAAGAAAAATAGTGTAATTAGTATAAAAATTAGATTTATTTTACCAGTTTGTTTAGCATATCAATTTCATACATGAAGAACAACCACCAATGTTCTTACCTCTGAAGCCTCCAAGTTCCAATAAAAAAATGTGCTAGTTCTCAATCAATCACTTAAGTATTGAAATATGTTATGCCATTGAATTCTTGCATGGCATAAAAGAAAATGGCATATTATATTTGAAGAACTTAAATATTTTGGAACACTTGCTTGTTTTTTTTTCTCTATTGACTGGTTCTGTGGTTAAAGTTGTGTTTTTGATCCTTCACTATATTCTTCTCTTCTTGCAGTCTGGCCGCCTTCATAAAGTTCTGGAATATGTAAATGAGGTTCATTCTTTATGTGGTGTGCTTGGAGTGGATTTTGAGAAGACAGTGAGTGAAGTACATCCAAGCTTGCATGATACAGGTTATGAACAATCCACCAACATCAGCAACAGTACATTGGAAGGTCTAGATAAGGCCATACTTAAGTTAAAAGCAGAAAGAAAATCTCGCATCCAAAAGGTAATACCAAACTCAGTAGTTATGCATCCTTTTGCTCTCAGCTAGGAAGTAAATGTCTGTTTTGAAATGTAGTTGAAAGATATTGTGGCATCGCTGTTTGAGCTATGGAATTTGATGGACTCACCTCAAGAAGAGAGGAATCTGTTTAGAAAAGTTACTTTCATCCTTGAATCACCAGAACCAGAGATAGCGGAATCGGGTTTGCTCTCACTAGAGATTATTGATAAGGTCTGTTCTACTGCGGTCCACTTTATGTTAAATATTTAAAGAGCTGCTCTCAAGTTTTTCTTTTCTTAATCTCTTTTCAGGCAGCATCAGAGGTTGAGAGACTGACTAAGCTGAAAGCCAGCAGAATGAAAGAACTAGTCATGAAAAAAAGGTCAGAGTTGGAGGAAATATGCAGAAAAGCACATATTGAGCCTGACACGAGCACGGCAGCAGAAAAAGCTAATGCATTGATTGACTCTGGTATGCAATCCAATTCACTTGCTGCAAGTTAAATCTAATTATTAAGGTGTGGTTCTGAATGATACACTTGTGCAGGTCTTGTGGATCCTTCTGAACTTCTGGCGAACATTGAAGTTCAGATAACAAAGGCAAAAGATGAGGCTATGAGCCGGAAAGAAATTATGGATAGAATAGACAGATGGCTAGCTGCCTGTGAAGAGGAAAATTGGCTTGAAGATTATAATCAAGTAAGCTGGAGAATTAGCTGTAATGATATCATAATATTGATTAAAAAATGTTAATGTTTAAATGCATGGAACTGATATTAGGAATTCGAGTAACTTATGTGTCTCACTCTCAGTCCTAACGCATCTCTGGATTTTGCAAGCCAAATGCTACTCATACAAGTCAGAGTTGTCTTAGGAAATCCTTTGGGGTTCTGTTCTAAGTGCTTTTGCTGGATTTTAGGATGAGAACCGTTATACTGCTGGCAGAGGTGTCCACATAAACCTAAAACGTGCGGAAAAAGCTAGAGTGTCTGTAACCAAGATTCCAGCTATGGTTGAAAATTTGATAAATAGAACATTGGCATGGGAAGACAGCAAAAAGATGCTATTTCTTTATGATGGGGTGAGTGGCTCTACTCACAGTTTTGGGTATTAGTTGTTAAACGGTATTGCCAAGCAAATTGCTGATTTTCAATAAATTGCAGGTTCGGTTAATATCAATTTTGGAAGACTATAAATTAACCAGGCGACTAAAAGAAGAAGAAAAGAAGCGATACAGGGTATAACTTGATTCCATAATTACCCTTGGAAAATTTCAGACTTCTTTCCTTGTAAATAGTAGATAAATTTTTCCACCCTCTCATTTCACAGGATCAGAAGAAGTTGCAAGATCTTCTACTTACTGAGAAAGAAGCCATGTATGGCTCTAAACCAAGCCCAAAAAGAAGCAACAGCTTTAAGAAGCCAAATGGGTATCGGGCAAATGGGAATGGATCAATGACACCCACACCTCGGCGACTCTCACTTGGGAGTGCAACTCCTGAGCTGCTTACACCTCGGTCCTACTCAGGGCGTCAAAATGGATATTTCAAAGAAACAAGAAGACTGTCAACTGCACCACTGAATTTTGTAGCCATATCTAAAGAGGATACAATGTCATACGCATCTGTTTGTGGTTCTGATCTGGGGTCTCCTCATGGTTAAACCTTGAACCTAAATTGGTATGGATTTCCTTCTAGTGATTTTCCTCTTTAGTGCATGTTTCTTGTACTTTTGTACTATCGTGGTTTGTGAGGTTTTTAACTAGTATCATCACTTCATCGAACTTAACTGTAAATATAACCCGGATATGCATTATTGTAGAAACTGATTGGTTGGGTAGAGTTTCAATTCACGGTACTGCTTGCTTTTGCAGGAATGAGCTACTCTATACAGGTTGTTCTGCACTGGATTGAAGCAGCGGAATCCTTGTGAATAAAAAGGATTGTTGTACATTAGTTTGATTGTGATTTGTCAGATGTACCAGGTTGCCGGTAGTTGACATTCAAGGACCCAAACGTGGGGGTGTTACCAGCTTTGATGAGCAAAACACAATAGCTTGTAGTTTGGAATTGCTGGTTGACTCTGAAGTCTGTTATAGTACTAACATTTGTATCCTGTGGGTTTTGTTTGTTTTTCACTTTGTACATGTATATATATATATGTATTCGACTCTAGGTGACCATTGAAGTAGGGCATTTGTAATACAACCTCCCATAGAGGGATATCTGCCAAATGGAATTTGTACTATTTCGTCATTGCTTCTGGGTCTCCATACAACTGCCATGTATATGCTCCCATGCAGCTGGGTTTCTGGAGTTGTAGGAGCTTGGGCATCTGCAAGATCTTGGTTGGATCATCTGCTTATTGACCCTGTAAAAGGAACATCAATGGGATTCCTTCCGGCTGACATCGGAGTCTCACCCCAATCGCCATTACATGTGTAGGCAGGATTACATGCTACTCACTCATGACAGTCATAGATAAGCAAATCATCCAGCTGACATGTCTTGAATTCTTCACTCTTCAGTATCTCTGAGAGATGTCAAGCACATGAATCTTAAGCTGGTTCATGAGGTACAAGATCCATGGTCATCAAAACATGTGATGACTATCTTTCTGGCCCGTCAGCCATTTTTGTGTTGTTTACGGGATCTCGATGGTTTCTGCTGGTGATTCCTGTAGGCTGTGTAGCGTACTAAATCGGCCTCTTTGCTTTACTTTTCATGAGTTGGACCTGTGGGTATTTTTCATTCTAACCATGTTAAAAGTAAGGGAGTGTTGCAACCGTTTCGCAGCAGATTGAACTCATTTTGGTTTAGGTTGGTCATTGCTTGTGTGGGCTAGATCAAATCGTTGTGATTTTTCCTTGGAGATTCAGATTGTGTGGCGTTTTCTTGCACTCTGATAGGGAAACTAATTAGGGTGCTTGCCTGTGTTGGTTCTAGAAATCTGGACTGTCTTGTTTGTTATTCACTATTGCGGCATAATTTGCAGCAGCTAGACATGATGCCGATTCTTTTGAAATGCATTGATTGCACATTTGCACTGAATCACTGATGGGCCAATGGCTACTTATTGCTTCGTAGTTCGTGGCATAACTTGGTTTCTCATTTTTCTCTCCGGCCGTCTAGCCCCTCCATCCTGAGGGGGGGAGCTTGCCAATATCTACGATTCTACGGCCCAAGGTTCAAAATATTACAATGCATCAATCAGTTTGTATCTTATGATATGGTTGGGTTTTTGAATCCACTGAAACATCAAATATTAAGATTTAGGAGAAAGGCCATTTTCACTTGTTAATGCCCTTTTTAGGCCATCTCTGGTTCAAATCTTAAAACCTGAAAGTAATTCCAAATCATGAATATCACCCCTTTGTATTCTGTGTATTGCACGTATCAAGATTTTGAACCATTCTCCATGCCAAGGTTAAAGTATAAAAAAAAAGAGGCCATTACCCAATGTTCTCCCATCTATTTGGAGTGGTTTTCGAAGGGTAGACTGGATAATCTTGAAGGTCCAAGTTCCACAAATAAACTAACGAAACTCATTTTTAGGCTCAGTTTCAAAGGAGTACGAATACAAATTTGTATAGTGCAAAATCTTGTATTTTGTATATATTTGTATTTGTACTCTTTTCAAACTGAGCCTTAGGCTGTGTTTGGTTGCAATGCAATTTTATTTGGACCAGTACAAATGCATGGGAGTGCAAATGAAAAGAATGCAAACTTTGGCTTAATTTTATTTTGGGTTTTACTGTATTCTGTTTCAAGTCTTATTTTACTTCATTTTTACTGCAATCAAACAAAAAAAAGGTAAATTTTAAAATAAAAATATATAATTTGCACCAAAATCATTTGCACTACCATGGTTTTGCATCAGTGCAAATAAATTCGCATTGCAACCAAACACAATTTTAGGTCCAAATTGATGCATACAAATTTGAACTACCGTACCGTCCAAAGCGGAATACCAATCGTTGCTCACCCCAAGTAGATATAGATCACATTTGTTGCATAGCCAAATTGGAATACAACTGTCGCTGAATGCAAATGGTAGAACCACAAACAAAGCGTATGTTTGGCATCGTTGTCGTTGCTCCAGAAAATAGCACCACATCAGCGCCACGTCGGAAAAAACGGTGCTCCAAGAAACGGGTGTTTGTTTGGAAGCGTTTTTCCATAAAAAACAGTGCTCCAAGCCACGCCTTGGAAATCGGGAAGGCATGGCTTGGAGCAACGCTGAATTTGGCGTTTCCTGGAGCTATAGTTCGTTGCTGCCAACAGGGATGTAAGGTGGCAGTGATGTGGCACTAGATAATGGGTACCAGTGCTGAAAACATTTCCTGGAGTATTGGTACCAAACAAAAAAAGTTGTTGCTCCAGGAAATGTCCTACCTGGCAGTAACGATTCCAAACAAAAAAAAAAAAGATACCCACACATCAGCAACACCGTTTTTTGAGAAAACTGTGCTGCATCTGTAGCATCAATGCCAAACATATACAAAGGTTGTCAAGCAATGAATGAAAATGGTTTCCACACCACCTATAAAACTTCCATCGTCCAAGAGATCCGGTCCTTGTTAAAAATCCCATAATCCACTATTACCAATCTGTTGTTGGATCACAAACTGTATCAAAGAAAAAACTCTTTGAACATACATATGCATCATCAATGTAGAGGGAGTTTCTCACTTCCACAAACTCCTCAAAAACTTTTCCAATAGACACCAAGGGCAATGAAAAAAAAAGATTACATACAACTAGGGATGGCAACTTTCCCCATCCCTGACGAGAGCCCGACTTCCCCGACCTAATGGGGTTGGGGATGGGGATTGTTTTGGCGGAGCGGGGACTAGGACAGGGATTAATAGGAATCCCTGATCAGGATTGGGGTCAGGAATGGGGATTGAGGTCCCCGCCCCGACCCTGATTATATATATATATATATATTAAATATATATTATTATATTATTTATATCATATATATCAAAATATATTTAAAACATTATTTATAATTTATAATTTATATTTATTTAAGTAAATTTAGTTAAAAAAAAATACTATTATCTAAAAAAATTTCGGGGATTTGGGTCTGGAGGACAAATTTTATCCCCAGCGGGGATCTGGGATGG